TCTACTGGAGAGATCAAAAATGAAAAGATACCTTACAATGTGTTTAGGAATGGGTTAATTTAAAATCAACCCACTTAGTCTCTTAATCTCTTGACTCAGGACTTTTTTAATTCTGGAAAATTTTAAGCTAAGACTTCATTAATATTCCTTCATTTATTCTTCTGGAACTTATTAATTGAAAAATATTCCTTAACATTCAAAAGTATCTTTGTTCTTTTATGCTGCATTCTGAGAAAATTTGCTTCCATTAATTAAATCTACTTCACTCAGATTATAGACTTGTCTCTCAGTTGAATGTTATTTTTTAAAGCAAAGTTCGATGAATATTTCCACCTGCTCTTTTTTTTCACTTTCCCCCTTACTTTCAAAGTTTCTTATTGATTTTTTGTAAATACTTAAAAAATCTTATCTCTTTGAATAAATTAAATATAATTATCTTAGTGATTTTTCTATTTAGGTTTTCTTTATACTTGAATTCTTCAATTGTTTAATTGTTTTGAATACTAGCTTCATTTAAGTGGAGGAATTATGAATTTCAAACTTTCTCTCTTTATGCTATTCACTAGGCCCACACATTAGTCTTTGTAGAGTTCATCCAGGGTTCCTATCCTACAATGATAATGAGGCTATTGCAGTTCTAGTCAACCTTCGATATTTGTCCAGCTGTTGGTCAGTATTAGTCAGTGTCATATCCTCTTTCCCTCTTTGGGTACAAAGCTTTCTAACATAGTGAATATAATCGATGTATTGATGGATGCTTGCTCTGTTTTTTGTGCTGTATTTTTCTTGATGGTTGTTTTGGAGCATTCACACAGCCCTTAAATTTTTTGCTCTTTACATTTTAACTCACTTTACTATGTATTTATAGCAAAGAGGGCTCACTATGAGTCTAGGGCAAATATTTTCTTCATTAGACATTGTTATATATTTGTTAATATTAAATAAATATTAATGGTACCCAAAACAATATATAATACATGTATATAATCATAAATGAGTGCATAGGATTGTCTAAAACACTAAAATCTCTGATTATTTTCAAATTTTGTTGTTCTCAGAACCCATATCCTTTCTCTTCCACTGAAGTATGCATGTTGACAGTTTGAGATCTAGTGCACTTTTATTCTTCTATTTTATGTACTTTTGTCCATTATACATTGTATCATTATATATATGAGGAATAATAGCATTTTCTGTGAACTTCCTCATTGTAGTAGAAAAATATGATTTAATATTTGCTATTTCCCATTTACAATGTTATGTTTACAATGTTTCTAGTTTTTTTCCTCATTGAAACAATATAACTTGGATGTTTTATATAATTCACTTGAGGACTGAAATAGTTGGAATTTCTGGGCACTTTCAGATTCCAAATATTGTCACATTGTTTCCCAAGAAAAGGTTCATTTTTCATGACCAGAGTTTCCATAGTACTTACATCCTTCAGGGTGGTGGTTTTTAAAACTTGCCAAAACTGCTGGGCAAAAAGTATTTCATAATAATTTTAATATACATTTCACTAATTATCAGTTAAGCTGGTAGATACCAATGCAGCACAAAATATTTTTATATATTTCGGCCACTTATACTCTTTTCCCATATTTTCTCCTTTCACAAGAGAAAATATTATTTTCTTTCTTAAATTTAAAAATTTTTACCATTATGTGTTTACAGCACATGGGTACATGTTCAAAACACATCTCAATTCTTTTTCCTTCTCCCTTCTCCCCTTTATTCCAGCATCAAATTCATTTCTTTATCTCATAAATCCTTATAAAGCTGCCATACATGTAGATTAACAAGCAGATTAATAGACTACAAAGCATATGAAATACATAAGACAATTATACTAAAGTTTGCTTAACTTTTGATTTCTTCTAACAATTCTAATTACTTCTTATCTATTACATATTTCTAATATTTGTAGGTCTCATATATTAGTTTTATTCATAGCCTGGTAGATTTTGTCAGTGTTGTTCACATTTTTGTCCAATGCAGTCTTTTACCTTTTGACAAGCACTTGTCCATCCTCATTCTCACACCTGGCAGCCATCATTGTGATATCTGCTTCTGAAATTAGCTTTTTTAGATTTCACATGGGCATCCTCATAAAATATACACTTTTTTGTGTGCTTGGCTTATTTCTTTTAGTATAATGCCCTTTGTGTTAATTCATGTTGTTGCAAATTGCAGGATTACCTCTTACTTAAAGTCTAAATTATATTCTGCTATACATACAGATATGATAACTTATGTATCTGTTAGTGTTAATTTGATATAATCCTATCAGTCTGCCTTTATTTTTGTTGACTATGTTTTGATTTCAAATTCAAAAAAATCATTGCTCAGACAAATTCATGGAGAATTCTCACTATATTTTTTTCTAGTACTTTATAATGGCAGGTGTTAAGTTATTAATTAATTCTGAGTGTCTAGAGTATACAGTATGATATAAGGTCCAATTTCATTCTTCATGGGAATATCCAGTTGTCCCCATGGTGTTTATTGAAGAAACTAATATTAATTTGGTGCACTTTGCCTACTTGTCAAAAATGCAAACGACTAGTCATATGTGGGTTTATTGCTAGCCTTTACACTCCGTTTCATTGGTTTATGTATCTAGTTTTGTGTTAGTACCAAACTGTTTTGATTACTATGTTCTTTTACTGTATTTTGAAATCAGATACTGTGATCATTTATTCATTTATTTTGGGTCAAAGTTGCTTTGGATATTCAGGATATTTTGTAGTCCTACATAAATTTTAGAATTTTTAAATTTTCAAACAAAATCATTGGAAGTCACATAAAAACTTCATAGAATCTGTTAGTCATTTTGGGTACTAGGAATATTTTAGTAATATTCTTTCCAATTCATGAACATGGAATATTTCTTCCATTTATTTTTATTTAATTATTTATTTCATTAGAGCTTTTTAGTTTTCAGTGGGCAGAGATTTATCTCCTTTGTTAAATTTATTCCTCAATATTTCAGTTTTTATAGCTCTTATAATTGAAATTTTTCTTGGTTTCTTTTTCAAATAGTTGTTTTCTTTTGTTTTTGTTTTTGTTTTTTTGGTACCAGGTATTGAAGTCAGAACCTTGCACTTCAGGGGCAGGTGGTGGCACCACAGAGTTAAATCCCCAGCCCTAGTTCAGAAATATTACTAATTTGTTAATATTAATATTTCATTTTGCAACTTTACTGAATTAATTTATAAGTTCTATCAATGTTTTGGTTGGTGTCAGTAGGGATTTTTATGTATGATTATGTAGCAAAGATAATTTTATTTGCTTTTCAAATTCTGATTATTTATTAATTTCCTTGCCTAATATCTCTCGCAAAGACCTCCAATATGTTATTAAATAAAACTGGCAGAAATAGGCATCCTTTTCTTATTCTGATCTTAAAGAAAGTTTTCCAGGGCCTGGGATTTACTTCAGTGTTTCCACCACCTGCCTCTAACAAGCACAAGGACCTGAGTTCAATTCACGGTACAAAAAAAAAAAAAAAAAATTTTCCA